TAGGAAGGAAGATATTTTTTACTGGCCGTAGATTCAAAAGTGTGGTTTAAAAACTTTGAAGTTTATGCAAATCGGCCGAATTCTAATCCCTCACAGTTTTATATTCGTTTCTTTTTCCTGGAATGTGCTTGCTTATACTGTAGTTAAAATGCAGATACAAGATGCCGTCACATTTCTAGGTTATCGAAGATAGGCCGAAAGTGAAAGCATCAAGGCCAGTGAAAACGGAAGAAAAGGAAGGCGGTCGCACTATCTGGCGCAACATCATCTGGCTCATCATACTCTTTGCTTACTCCTTCATTGGCGGCGTTATTTTTAGTGCCATTGAAGGTACCAGACAACCAAAAAACAAGCTTAAGCGTAATGCGTTAAATGTTCCTCAAAAATACTAGTCAAGAAATTTCTGTGTGAAAGACGTATTTTTTAGAAATTTATTTTCAAAGCTTTGAGGAGGGCATGACGAGAGCGAGCTTCTGAGGAAGTACGAGCACGATATGAGCATCTACGTGAAGCATAAAATGTATCAGTTGCAAATTTTTACGTATGTTATTCACCAGTTTAACCATAGAAAATATCAAATTTTAGTCTTTTATTGTTTATAGTGAATGGCATGCTTATCTGCTCGCAACTCGCGCTCTAAATTCTGACAGAGTCAAACTGCGAGATTTTTCCAAATGACTGGACAGGACAAAACAAATTGCATCCCAGCTTTGTATAGCTTCTTTGCTCCTTCTTCCTTGTTCTTGCCTTCTCCTCCCCGCTCCCGCCCTGTCCCTGCTATCCTTCTCCTTTCCCAGCTAGCTTATTCGGGCAGGGGCGGAAAGGGAGGTACCGGAGTGAAAGTAGAAATCATGTGAGCGTACCCTTTTCGATGTTGATTGGCAAATGAAAAGGTTGTATAATTCTTGCAATAAAACTTTCACTCATTAAGCCCGACATGACTTTGCGCTGCACAGTCAAAGAGTCTAAATCGCTTTCTTTTTTTTTTTTTTTACAAATTATACAAAACAAATATTTTTCAGGAAACTGTGCGAAATAGACCGTAACACATCCTACACCCGGAACGAAAGTGCTTCAGAAGTGGAAGAACAAAAGATGCAGCTAGTGAGCAATGCGCTAGGTTGGTATGAGCAAATGCTGGGCATCAGTATTACGGAACCAGTTATGGAAGTTTCGAGGTGGAATATTTGGGGTGGTGTTTATTACGCGGCCAGCCTGTACACGACAATTGGTAAGTGAATATGGAGACAGATCAGTGATTTGCTTGAGTGCACGAGGCAAAAGACAGCAAAATGGAATGAAAAAAAGGTTATAAGAGAATATGAAAGTATCCCTTTACATCGTGGTTCCAGTCGCTGGTTCGGACTACGATCAGTCCTTTCGATTCATCGCAAAACTGGCTTATCGACTGTGATGAAAAGTCAAATCGCCTTTAGTTTGGTTTTTTAGGCAGCTCGCAGTAAATGCTAATTACTGATTGCTGCTGGCACAGTGCTATCACTTGTTCCACTCTCAAGTAAAGCCGTCCCTCATGGACAATCGAAAATAGGGGGATTTTGAATCAAAACGCTAATATAATTTGCTGGAATTAATTTAGCATTTTGCTGCTGATTCTATCGTCCACTCCGCCGTCCAGTT